GAGGTGGAAGCAGTGACTGGTTTAGGGGTAGTTAGGGGAACTGCTGCTGATAGTGATGTTGAGAGAGGTGGTGTAGTATTTGGTGCTGCTGGAGTTGATGCTGCTGGAATTATTGCATTTGGGCTTGCATTGCCCGCATGCATTGCATCAAGTCGTCAAACTGGTTCTGGCGGGTCGCCATGGGGACAACAGTTGGTTCAGCAAAAGTTGTTTCAATAGGGAGTGGAAGAGGGACGTTCATGGTAGGAAGGTTTACGGGCGCCACTGTTTGTGGCGCATTCAAGCTGGGGATCCCATCCACCAGAAGGGGGATGGTGAACTGTCCGATGCACACCACGGGGACTTGGAGTTGTTCCCCGGTGGTGTTTGTCTCTGTGCCACGTCTGGCATTGCTGGAAGAAGCCATGAGTGTTGGGGTTTTTGGAAGAAGAGGAGGTTATGAGAGTTTTAGAGGGAGGCTTTTAGAAGCGTTCCCACAGACGACACCAATTGATGGTGCGCAATCCGGTCGGTCCTAGCTGTCAACGACCTTGCCTCCGAACGGAGCTACAGGGAACCTGAAACGGAGAAGATGAGGAAACTCCGGGGGGAACCTGGTGAGATTGCTCTGAAGCTCAAGTTAGGATTCTCTCAATGGCAAGATAAAACCAGATGGCGCAAAGTTCACATACCTTGTTCTTGGGGGGTAGGGAGCCTTTTATAACCACCTCGCGCACTTACTCCTAAGCTTCTGTCAGGTCGGGTATGATTATCCCTGCACTCCTGCCAGTTTGGGTGTCATAACCTCTGCTGGGACAAAACCGCCATTGCTCTCTTTGTCGGAGCCATCTCTACAACTAGAGATGGCGGTGGCAGGTGGCGGTGGCAAGTGGTCGTTGGGGTGCGGCTCTCAAGCGTCAGATCCCAAGTCATTCAGGTGCGCCGCCCTTGGATACGGACCTCCTCAGTGTCAGGTATGGTACGCTTGTTCAGTTCGGCGTCCTGGAGGCGAAGTGCTAGAGTGGTGAGCGAGGTGGTCTTGAGTTCGRATAGGGGAGTGTCCCGAACTGCCATGAGGCGGGCCAGTTCGGGTCATTGCCTTGTGTGAGGCTCGGGGCCTAAGGGAGAGTTCGGGCTCCTAGCAGGGAGTTTGGGCTCCTAGTAGGGAGTTCGGACTGTTGGTAGGGAGTTCGGACTGCTGGTAGGGAGTTCAAACTGCTGGTTCCTCCCTTCGGTGCTCGCGCCTTGGGCGCGTTGTTGTGCCGAGCTGTTGCCTTTGCCACGTGTTGAGTGATTACGAGGTCGGGCCAAATCTTCCTTCATCAATTGCAAATTAGGTCGAGCTCCAGTCAGGGGTGATTTTCCTCTTTGCTTCAGTTAGGGTTTGGGTTTTCTTCAGTTCGGTTCTCTCTCAATCAACATTGAATTTCAATTGGAAGTTTTCACTACACTTGAAATAGCCTTTATTCAAATCCCATCTTTTACTTTAGATTTCTTCTCGTTTTCCATTTCTTGAAATGGCTTGCATGAAACTAGGTTTTGAAACTGATGCATTCCAAAGGCAAGGGTAACCTTGGTATGTTCCCTTTGCATTTCAATTTTCTACTTATTCTGTTTTGTGTAAGACTTTATAGTGCTGTTATTCGTGCATTCTGGGCATGCAATTGGATTTGAAGTGGGGCAATGAGATTAAATCTAATATTTGGGTTAGTTGTACCTTACATCTTAGTCTTTTGTTTGACTTTAATAGCTATAGCCTAGATTTTCGATTTACATTTATGTTGTCAATCTTTGAGGGAATGCCAACATATAAAAAAATAAAAATAAAAATATGCTTGGGAGGATTAATATATTTTCAACCTTTGGTATTGTCTAGAAAATTTCTATATTTGAGAAGAATAGTGGAATGTTGGCACTAGTCTAATACCCCGGTAGGATTCTTTTTACATTTATTGGAACTTGTTGATTACTGTTTCATGTCTTGTTTTGCATTTGTATTTGTTCAACTGACTGTAGTTGATAGTAGGAAATTGTAGTTTTATTTTTCTATTTTGGAATTTAAGAAATTTTCCTAATTAATTTTTATTTTACGAATTTTGTCATTTGTCCAAGATTTCTTGACTACATAGGGAGAGTGTCTTGACAGCATTACTGTGTTAATGATGAATGGAAATAGCAAAGTTAGAAATAGCTGTATCAATGGGGGAGTAGGAGAGTAGGAGAGAGAGGGTATGCACATAAATATTAGTAAAGTAATGGATAGAGTGAGAGATTTCTTGTAGGTAGATACAAAATAAATAAATAAATAAATAAAACATGTGGAACAAGTAATTGTCAATTTTGAATTATTTAGGTGGTTTTGAGTTTCTTTTTTTTCTTTCAAAGATACAAACTTTCTACTCTTTTATGATTGACAGATGGAGAGAGGGAGGGGGGAGCTCACCCCCTCTCTTTCCAGGGCACAGAAAAGGGGGAAATGCAGATTCAAAGAGTGGGGTTTTTTGCATCCTGCTTACCTGGAAGAGTGGTTTAATTAATTTTTTTGTCTTGTTATTCACTTATGGAATTAATTTGGCATTTTGTACTTATTATCTAGAGCTTAATTCTAACACAATATTTTCTTATTTTTATAACTTGGCCCATGAATTCTGTTCAAAATCATGAAGCTGAATTTGTGTATGGTGTTGGCCAATATTAATCTAGTGAAAGCTAAAATCTTTGGTTTTGTTTATGAAGCCCATAAAGGKCAGTACATACAAATATAATGCTTTGTAATATCGTCTATGATCTGAAGAGTCATAGACTTATTTCAGTTGACAACAACAGTTGCTCAAAAGCAAGTGAAGGCTCAGTTAAGGGTTTCAATTACCTTTCGGTGGAACTTCATGTTGTAGAATGCATACCATTTAAGAGTAATTTTATGATGACACTAATGTTCGCTTTGCTTTTCTTTACAAATTCCAAGGAGTTTGAACATTTATTTTTTCTCTTTTCCTTTTTTTAGTGCATTGAATACTCTCCATTGAGGGGATTCATACCACAACAAGGGACTTGCCTTCACTAACAGTGAGAGAGATTTTCACTATTTGTGAGTTTAGGGCTAGGAGGATTTCTTGCCCTGGTTTTGTTTTTAATTCAAACTTTCAAAGAAAACCTGATACAAATAGATGAAAGTATGGAACAACCAGATTTTCAGATTAGTGATTTAAAGTAGAAAGCTAGGTGTATTCTATCCTATTTAGCATATATCTGTTTTTTATTGAAATAATTCCTAAAAAAACATTGTTTTAATTGTTTATATGATACATGTACCTTTGTATATTTACATCTCAAATAAGACGGCTCAAGAATTGGACTTTGATACATGAATGCTGGTTTTGTAATTTGTACTATTGTATTTGTGGTCTCCGTGACATGTTTGGGAGTCTAAAGATATCGTTTAATATTCAATTTCTTTTCTTGATTCAAATTTTGAATCTCATAAATGTATTTCAAGACTTATAACTGACAAGTAAGACACAATGAGCTAATAACTCAAGTTAAACCATTGTTGCCAAGGAGAGAAGAGGACATTGTAAGGGAGAGTTTAGAGGTTTTTCTATTGAACCAGTTAGGATGTAGCAAATTGTAAATTAACATACTCATTGAGCATTTGAGCCCAAATTATCAAAAATAAATAAAAAAAAACTCATTGAATATTTGAGCTCATCTTGGGTAAAGCAATAGTGATAAGAGTTGTGTTTTATTAACTTAATTTTCATAATATTTTAATGATTAAATGTTCAATTCAAATATGAGAATGAGATTCTACTCAATTTTTTATAATCTAAATTGTAAAAGGAAACAGAGAATTCTACTATGTTTTTTCCCAAATTAGAATAATATATAGTCTTGACTCTTGATACCCACCTTTGGAATTCAAGGGTGAACAATTTTGATGGAAGAAAAAGACAAGCTTCAATAGTTAGTTAATAAAGGTACATATTCATATAAGATCCTCTAGCAACATTTGACTCCTCAAGGCATTCATTACTCATTTATTTATATCTTTCGTAAGGACAAATGGCATTTATTATGTTACGTGGTATCTCCCCATAAATTTTCTACTATATTSCAGTATTTCTTGCATCTCTTGATTAATTGATCTCCTTGGGTTATAAACTTTATTTGTACTTTTCTTTCTATAGCAAGGATACAAACTTATTGATTTCTACCCAATGAAATGGTTAATTTGGTTTTTTAACAAGTACATTTATAGATGGCATATGTGAGGTTTATGTACATATAAACTGGATAAGGTTCATTACTACAAATATCAGCCTTATACATCATGGATTTCTATAGTGAATGCATTTTCTTTCCTTGGACCTATCAAAAATTTGAATTATTCATATATACAGTTGCTTATTGTTGTACTTTGGATAGTTACTAACAATGACTTGATTGTTTAGGAGGAATAGCCTAGATAGTTATAGACACCAGCGTCTGATAACATCTTGCTCTTGTGGAGGATGAACCTGTGCTACTTCACATAGGGAATGCATATAAGAGAGATTAGAATACTTTATATATAGATGTGTTTTCTTCCAATATTAATTACATGTATAATTATAGATATTCAAACAGTGTTAGCTATCTATATGATGGGTTTTCAAGGGTAATCACATCTAACATTTCAAACTTGGACTTTTCAAACCGAGTACTTGAGCTTCACCATTTTCTCTTAACATTTTTTCTATGTTACCCCTTTTACACTTCGAACTTGATTTTATGGAGCAAATAAAAAACTTCGAATTGAATTTAACTCCATCTAAGCACAATGTATTCTGCTACTTTATTAAAAAACCAAATAGTTCGGTCTGATTTTTATTCCATTTCGCAGGGGCTCACCCGCTAGTTATCATTATTATTCCCATTTCCATTGTTCCATTAGCATGGGTTATCTGGGGTGCCACGCATGACTCCGCATTCCGGTTGAAGTAGATATGTATCAGCTGGTCCGGGCATGATCCACTTTGGAATAGTTATCTAAAAGATCATTAGTTCATTACTACTTTATTCTAATTTACTTTTTTGGCTACACTTTTTATTTGAACAGGAAAGCAGGAAATTTATAGATTCCAGCCTTCCTTGACATCTGCCTTCATGTATTTTACAGCCCTCTCTCCGATTCTCTACATACATCTCTTTCTCTGGTTCTCTCTAAAGTTGGTCTTTAATCGCACAACAGATTACTGCAAAGATGATAGGGCAGCAGACTCCTTTGACAAGGCCCTGGTTATGGCTTTGATGGTGTTTGGTGTTGTCCTGCAGCAGCCACCTACGAGGGAAGCCCCTACCTCCCGCCATTTACTTACATATGAGACAAAATCTTCATCTGAAACTCCAGTAGATTCCTACAAGAAATGAGAGGGAAAAGGTTAAGATTTAATTAATCACGTTTATTGGCATGAAAAGGTCATCTCAGCCAGTTTGCTGTTATGAGGGAGCCAAGGATTTCATTGCATTTGTAACATTCAGATTTCAGAACCAGTTCATAATGTCTGACTGGGAAATGGATACATTGTATAGTTAGTAGTATTTGTATGCGTATATAAAAGTGATTTTATATGAAGCACTGCATCCTTTTTTTTTCTCTTTTGAGAAGGAAAAAATATAGTCTGGACATGGCCAACCATGGACAGCGGATTCCAATCTTGAATTGGCCCGTTTGCCTATAAACTGCTGATCGTGAATTCGTGATCGTCCATTCAAGAGCAATTAATCTGATAGAAAAAGGGAGGGTAAACAGAGAAAATTAGGAGTTCAACAATGGGACTAAAACATGATATTAGGTGTACAAATTGTAGGCCTGCTCATCTGTTTTTTCAGCTCAACTTCACCTCAAATGGATGGTGCCTAGGTTGGATTGAGGTGATGAAGGTTCAATTTCTCACCAATGGGCCCCATACAAAGAATGGTTTCTTTCTCTTCACATTGAACAGATTGAGATAATATGATGCTGATAAGAGAACACATAATTTTTGAGGGGTGAATTTTTACAGGCCAAAGTCTAGGTTGCCCATCTGTGCTTTGAATAGATAAAGATACATGGGTGTGAGCTAATAGTTCCAATTGTATTGCAGATTTGCAGTCTTACATAAACTTGGAGACCAAAATGCTTGTCTTATCTAAGCAACATCCTGGTCCCCTGAGCCTATGACTTGATTTCCCAAGTGATGCAAAGAACAAGTGTTATAAAAAATGTAGCAGAAAAGATCAAGGAGGAAACTTACCACCCATTCTTTTCGAACAGGATCATAAGTTTCACCACTATTTGGATAAATAAGTATAGGTTTACTTGTCACCTGCAGGGTTACTCAGACAAACATCAAGTATTTCAGAGTGCTGCATGGAAAGGGAATGATCAGAAGCGTTAATAAATTAAAGTGGTTAAAGACCAAATTTCTGGAAAAATCAGAAGCATGAACTGACTGACTGATATGAATCACCAACTTAAAAGCATTAAGAACAGTATCCATAGAAGCGCTATAATCTAATAGGTTCCTACTAGGCTACTATTATGTAAAAGGTTCCTACTAGGCTACTATTGGCAAGAGTATCAAGAGACCTATAGGAGGCACTGACAGAGTGAAAGTCCAGTAAATGACAGCGCTATAATCTAGCAGCAGTGTCATTCTAATTGAGGCATCTACAGTTTCATTGATACAGAAAAGAAAAAAAAAAGTTTCCTTGATACACAATCTAACCTCAAATATTAGTTGGATATGATTTTTTGCCTCCTCCATAGAGTCAGGTATTTATAAAAATCATCTCGTGTTTAAATTCACTATTAGGATGTCTGTATAAGATGACATCATCTTTGAACATCAGAAATTGACATTTGTTAAGTCTAACATGAGAGTGAACAGAAAAAGAGAAAAATAATGCATACAAATTTGTTGACCGGTTAACAACACCACTAATACTCCACTGTCATTGTGCTATTTAATTTATAACAGACCTCTTTCGAAATAAGATATTTGTTTTTCTTTTTTTCATTTTTTTGAGAAGTATTAATTTTTTTTTTTGCTCCATGGGATTACACAACAAGGGGTAACCCATAACCCCTCCAACACTGGTGCAGGTAGGATTTGATCCCAAGTCCCCGCTACAGCCAGCCAGAGACCTTACCAACCAACCAGTTGGCAGCTAGCAACAGTAAAAAATAGATCCTTATGACCATGTCTCTGAGATTTTTTTTTCCATTTTTATTTTTTAATTAATCTACCTGTTTGATGCTGCACATATAGATCCTTATGAACAAGCAACAGTAAAAAATAGAATGCAGAAAATAATCAAGGTTAAATAGGATAACCATGACTTCCAAACGTCAAACTCTGTAGAACAGGACATTACACTAACTAGATTATTCATTTCTTCTCCATCTTTTTCCTTCTACAGATTTAAGCCTTATAGTTAAAACAGTCATCAAACATCATGTATTGATGAGAAGAAGTCACAGATAAATGAGCCCAGAAAATGATTGTACATTCCTCCAAGATGGAAAAGAAAAACAAATATGACCCTCTTCATATTTAATCCGGATAAAAAACAACACAATAKAGGATCATACCTTTTGAACTAAGAGAATGAGACCATGAATAAATCTCGGAGGGGTGCAGTTGACTCCAACAGCAACAATCTTCTTACATGAATCAGCAATTGATGCACACTCAAGCAAAGAATCTCCACTAACCACATTGAAACCATCCTTAGAATTGAATGAGAACCATGCTGGTATCATTATATCATCTTCCTCAAGCAGCTCAGCATAGGCCTACATGACCACCAACCAACCAAAGGATTGTCAGAAACAAATTGGGATGGACCTAGCAATGTATGTTATATGGATACTGGCACAAGCATCATCAGAATCTGTCATAGGTATGACTTGTGAGGTGTGTGATTTGGCAAGCCTGAAAAACAGGATTCAGAGATTCAGCTGCTATACCTTGGTTTTAAGTAACATAACTTTCCTAATCATATCTTTGCATGTTATAAAGCTTTTGAAAAAGAAAAAAAATTAAAAACAGATGTGTAAATCAGAGAAAAAGCACTAAGCAAACAAGGACCGGATACACTAAATCATCAACTATCAAACCATGTAAATTACAGATTTTTCCAATTTTTATGGTAAGAGCTTGATGTACTCTAAGCAAATATCATAGATGTAACAAATAGAAAAGTCGCCCGAAGTGTTGTATCAGTTATGGTATCCAGATGTGAATAACACAACTCACAAATGTCTATGTAACATAACCAGAAATACAGTTGGGAAATCATTCTTGATGAACTCTACTCTCTTAGCATACTCTTGATCCATATACTAATGGTCCGATGTATTTTGACACTTTATATGGAGTTGCTACCCATCCAAGTTATGTCTCTAGATCAGAAGATCAGTAGTTCCAATGGCTGTGTAGTTTGGATAAAGCTGCAACCTGKAYGGGGCCCAACATGAGCCCCACCTGATCCAAACCAAGCGTTTGTACAGATTGGGCTTCTATTTTTGGGCTCCAACTCCAACTGGGCCTGGACCAGAAAAACCGGGTTTAGCCTCAGTTCAGATTGGGCTTGGGTAGTCCAAGCACAGAACAAGCTTGGTCCAACCCAACCCGAGTCCATCTAACCTTCTATAATCTATTTCCCCATGTACATACATATGTTGTGTATTTCTGCTAAGTATATATGTTCATACAATATATTTACACCATTGTATACATATATATGATCAACCCAGCCCCACATTCATGCACAAATGCACAAAATACATATTTTATGCATTTTATGTAATATATGTACATATTTTTCTTTTGTTCTATTTCTAAGTTGCACTATAAAGTCCAAAGGAATTGTAGAAATACAAAATGTGAGTAAGAACTAAGAAAATTTTTAAACCCAACCAACCTTCCCAGACCCAAGTTATGTTGGACTTAGCTAAGTGCAGGCTTGGATTGGTCAATTCAGGCTTTGACCATGCATTGGACCAGGTCTAGGCCCAAGATCCATGTTCTAGGATTGGACCTCCATTGGCCCTGAACCAAGCCTAAGTTGCACCCCTAAGCATGGAACAGAATGAGGATGATGAACCATTCATCATCAACTTTTAAGTAAGAAGAACAATACGAAATTAAGGGGCTGTTTGATAACTACTGAAGTTGCTGAACTGAAAAGCTTATCGCTTTGTCTTTAAGTGAATATGATTTTAAGGAGGTCAGGGGCTCCTTAATGGCTGAAGCTAAAGTTGGGTAGGTTGCTATAACCTTGAATATTTTATTATTTAATTATTTTATCTACTAAAGGACAAATCAATAAGTCATTTGGTCCAGCAACTTCAGCTGTTATCAAACTCCCCCTAAATTCTACCATTTATTTATAGGGAGTCAAAAAACGTACCTGTGCTTCTAGCTTATTTGGAATTGTTTCAAATGCAATTAGGTCAGCACCTGATTCTGCTAGAACCTGAATCCTTCTCCTATGGAAATCTTTCAAAGTTGCAAGAGTAATTGCATCGCCATAGTTCCCACTGCAGAATGACACCACAAGGAAAAGAAAACATATGCAAAATACCATCCAAGAAAAGAGCAATGGTACTAATTTGTTATAGTACTACAGGGACTGAAAATCATTGGACTGATGAACAATGAAATAGCAAAAGAGTATAAGCTGAAACCCATTAACAGTATATTCAATGGGTAGAAGATAAATTCACAAGTTTTCTTACACATGGAAAGCTATTAGAATCCACTGACAAAGAAATATATGATCTTAAATAATCTTATAATGATGTGGTAACTGGTAAGTGCTTTGCTTTCTCTGGATATTTAATCACGACTACAGATATGCTTTCTTTTTTCCTTTATTATCATGAGGTTCACATTTCAGGCTTGGAATCTTACCATTTAGATGATTAAAGACTACATCATTTATTATCCATACATTTCAGATGATTTGGCACATCAGTATTAGTTTTTTATACAAATCCTAAGCTACAGTATGGGTTGTCTATTAGATCAATAACCTCAGAGTATTTGCATAGTGAAGTTCTCAGTTTGTCTTTGCCCAATGAATGAGACAACTCATGTGATGAGCCACATCAATTTTTGTTGTATATGCATTTTCCCCTTTCTTATCCTGTATCCCACATTGCAATCAACTCCCAGCTTTAAAAAAAGAAAAAAAAAATCATTAACTCACAGATTATGCTTTTTTTGGACAGCAAATAACGCACGGTTTGAGAACAAATAACATCCATCTACTTGGAAAATCTAGTTTTGGTACGCTTGGGAAAAGGATAACAACTATGCACTTAAATAATTAATGTCACAACTGCTGGAGTTGAAAACAAAAAATAAAATAAAATAAATCAGAAAAAAAACTAAGTTCTGAAAATAAAGCACCTTGTAGATTTGTGGACTAAAAGAATGTAAAAACATATCAAATCCAAAGAAATTGCAACCAAGGGAACTCAACTGACCTGTACTCAGACCCATCAGCCAAATAAGCCCCATAGCTTCCTACAGAGGCAGCTACTAAGATGGGACGCTTTTTCAGGATTCTTTCATTTCCAATGCCATCAGGCAAATATTTTGTGCATCTATCATAATAAATATCTCGCGCCTCACATGCAAGTTTTACACTCCTTTGCAGCAGAACTTCACTTTCTTCCCCTGACAAGCCTTTAGCCTCAAAACCTTGAATAGTAGCCTGTCGTACAAACAGAATAACCAATGTTCAAATTACACAAGTCTCTGGAGAAACCATTATCGGTAATTACTGATAAAAGCAAAGAACACTCAAGTACCTGATAAGAGGCAGTGGTTATAATATCAGCGCCGGCTTCAAGGTAGTCCAGGTGTACCTATTCCACTCAAAAATACAAGAGAAACATATGAATTATAATAAGGATCCAGTCTGGTGCTCACAATTCTAAATCCAGACACAGAGACAGTAAACCGGAGAGAACTAATAATTATGAACTCCAGCACATAAAAACCTCAGCAGTAAAAATATGCAAGAACAAGAAACAAAGAAAAACAAATAAAAAGGAACATATTCCATAGGGGGACCAGGCAGCGAGATGTCTAAAATCAAAATATGAATGGAATACAAATCGGCCAATGCATGTGAGATAACAAAACCAAGTTATCCACCCATAAGAGATAGCTAACTGATTGAAATAATGAAACAAACAGAAAAGGAGAACGAAATCGGTGCCATCAAAAAGTGAAAAAAAAAAACATAATAGAAAAATGAAATTAAAATTCTATGGAAAAGAGTTTAAAGATTATACCCTTCTGATTAAGTGAGGGGAGCTAATGAGGCATTTGGCGCTCCAGAGAGGATCGTTCAGGTCCGCGCCGTGTCGTTCGAGCTCCGTCGCAAGACCACCATCGATGATGCCGTAACCACCAGACTTCTGGAGGAAATTGGACATTACCGACGAGTGTTCTACGCTTCCAAGATCACCCATTGGACGACCAGAGCTGATAGGCTATTTGGGCAAATTTGGGAGAGTTTCCGGCGAGTCAAGTAGGCAACCAAAGTACCAACCCAACCTGAATGCGCACGTCAATAGTCGATAATGGGAAGTCCAGGAACTACGGGAAAAGCACAAAATGCTGTCAGACACCCTCGTTCAGAATTTATAGACAGAAGACAGTGCTCCAAATGACCATACTCCCCCTCATTCTTGAACGAGTGTTCAGAATTCCAAAAGACACTCCTCTGATCTCATTTTATTTTAATTAAATGCAGACATACGGTTAAGGATAAGCATGAAGATTCACACCAACTACGTAGATGATAAGATAAGCACAAAAAGAGAAAGAAACCAGCTCGACGCTATCAGTTGTTAAAAGTTCTCAGACATCTTGTCTCTCTTTGTATATTGTACCAATCGATTCAATACACCTTGTAACTGAACATCAAGTGAAAATACAGAGCTCTCATAAGTCAAGAGGAGTCGAATTTACTCGAAGTATTTTGTCTAGTTTATGACTATGCCAGGTGGCAAACTGGCTACACAACGTGGGATCGTAGCTCCTTTGACTCCACTTGTTTTTAGTCCAAATTTCATTTGCATCACTACAAATGTACGAAAGTGCAAATTCTAATTTCATTTGCATCCCTATTTTAGTGTGGGTTCTTTCAACGAAGAAAAAAATTGAAGGTGGGTGGAAGATTCTCTTTGGAGGGAAAAAATGGGGAAATTAATCAATTGTCCATAAAAAATGGGGAATAATAAATCACGTTGTCCCCACTTTATTTAAAAAATTTGAAGGAGAGGGTGATGTAAATTTTGTATCAGTTTTGGGATGCAAAATTTACACTATCCATAAATATAAATGAAACAAAAAAAAAGATGGAAAARATTATACAAATTTTACATCATTTTTTTGAGATGCAAATTTTAGATGAGAATAAAAAAAAATTGTAAATTTTGAATAGCATTGCATTGGGAATATCTCGATATCTAAAATCTCTTGGGGAATTATTCCCGATGTAAGGTTGGGAGAGGCTGTTCGAACTGTGTAAACATACGCTTGCACTGAGCAAAGCCGAACTCGTGTAAGCTGGAAACAAATGGAGCCTTATAAATTTTTTCTTAAATAATTAAAAGTATACATGTAGAAAAATAAGCGTTTTCCAATGCCAAAGGTGGTTTGAAAAAGTAATAATAATACTTTGCCATTCAATAGAAATTTTTTAAGGACATCTTTAAAATTTGGGTATGAAGATAACCCTTGTGCTTTAGGAATAATTTCACTTTTAGGGCCTGAATTTTTAAATGTGACATTTTAGTATCTCAACTTTTAAAAATATATATATTTAAATCCAATTCCAATAAACTAACATTWCCATGAGGGATAAAATTATAAAAATGCCCATCTTCTAACTCTTTTTTCCACTGTTCATCTTTCTTCCACTAAGTTTGGACTTTGGACGCAAACCAACAACAAAGTATGTGTTTGGTTCCGTGGGTGTTTATGGATAGGTCGTTTATTTTTACTTTTTCATTTTAAGTGTTTATTTATATTTTTTTATTTTAAATGTTTTTTTTACTTTAAATGTTTTCTATTTTTGTTGTTTGGTTGGGCTTTACTTTAAAGGTTTTTTATTCTCCACCTTAGATTAATACTCATTAAAATGTGGCACATTAGCATTTGGTTTCAAGAAGCGATGGGGCATTGAGTGAAACAAGAATTTGACATTTCCCCAAATGCCCCATGCACAAAAATCAAAGTGTGTCAGTTTTTTACCATTTATTTGATAAAGGGTGAAACCAAACAATTGTTTCATTTTGCTTCATATRCAATAAATGCCAACACCTATATAACACTGATGTGACTGCATTTTTTCAATAAATTCCCACAAAACCAAACACAACCAAAGTATGTATGCAAAAATGAAATTACCCCCAATGAACAAATCAGGGTGAACTTATTTTTTTACCACTATTTGCGTTCAAAAGTCCAAAGGTAGAAGAAAGATGAATAGTAAAAAAAAAAGAGTCAGAACATGGGTATTTTTGTGATTTTAACCCTCCTATAACCTTATATATAAAAAGGATATGGGTGTTGTCTGCACTCAGGAAATGGAATCTACTCGTACGAGTAGATCCCACGTGCGAGCACCCATTTTCAATAATTAATTACAGTAATTAATAATAATAATTACTAATTAATTACTAACTAATAACAATAATTAGTAATTAATAGTGTAATAACATGCACCCATTTCCAGTAATTAGTTACTAATTAATTATTAGTTAATAACAATAATTACTAATTAATTACTGTAATAATAATTACAGTACTAATTAATAAAAATAATTATTAATTAATTACAGTAATTAATAGTGTAATAACATGCACCCATTTCTAGTACTAATTAATTATTAATTAATAACAATAATTACTAATTAATTACAGTAATTAATAGTGTAACTATATAATTACTGTAATAATAATTACTGATTATCACAGTAATTTAATAAATATATAATTAGTGATTATAATTAATAATTATTGTTAATATAAATATTGTTAATAACTAGATATTTACTTTAATTTTACTTTAAATTAAAAGTATAAATATTGTTATTAAAAATACTGTTAATAAATTTAGTAACCCAATTTTAATAATTATTGATTATTGTAGTAATTTAATAAATATATAATTAGTGATTATAATTAATAATTACTAGGGAAAAGTACCGAAACACACGATGCAGAATTCTGAATTCCAGCCC